ACAAATGGAAGAGACTATTAAATTTTGAGAACATAGAAAATAAAGCTCAAAATATACTAAAATTTGTTCATAATTATTTGAAAGAAAATAAATTAAAAATGTTCAGATGGAAACTCTTACATTTTATTCTTCCAAACAAAGTTTTATTAAAACAATGGAAAATATGCCAAAACTCAGACTATAATCACTGTAATATTACAGAAGATTATGAACACTTTTTTATTACATGCCACTTTCTTGATAAATTTTGGAAAGAAATATTTAATCTGTTAGAAAAAGTTCAACTTGGAAAACACATTTTAACACTAAAAAATTTGATTTGGGGTTACAAAATAAGTGATATAGAATACTATGATATTAATTTTTTTCTTACAGTGATTATGTTTTCAATTCACAAAATACACTATCTGTCAGAGTTTAGAACAAAGAATATTAATGTATTTTCTGTTTTTAAAACTGAGCTTAGAAATAGGCTCATTCTACAAAACAAATTTTTTAACCATGAAAGAAAAGGTATATTAGAAAAAATATTTAGATGTATTTGAATTGTATGAACTGATAACATGGTTAGTAATGTTATCTTTGTGTAATAATTAATTTATTATCTAATTTTGTATTTATATAATTATGATGCATGATAGACATTGCAAATTTTATTATATTTATATAATCTGGTAAGATGTATATACATTACAAAAAAACACAGCACAATCGTTTTTCGATTATCGTATGACTATTAATCCTTCAAATTATAACTGTCTTACCTGAATAATGATGTAGAAAAAGCTAATTACAATCTTTTTCGATATTGATTAAAATAAACAGTTATCCGGAAACACATGGAAACTGGTAATAGGTTATAAATTATCCCAAACTCGGATGAACTATGAAATTCCGAAAAAAACGCCAGATGATATAAATACTTTATTATAATAACAATAACATTATTTATCTATTGATGTTATATTAATATTTTCTAAACGACTTACAATATGCAGTTTATCTACCTGAAGAATTCCTGAACTTCTGGTACTAATGAAACAGGGACCTTCACTGAGATAGCTGTGTCAGTGGAGTAATTGTTAACAGCGTGTGCAATACTGTTGTTGAAAAAAAAAAAAAAAAAAAAAAAAAAAAAAACATTTGACACTTGTTATCAAATAGTCCGTTTCTATGTATGTTGGCGTTTGTTTTTGTTGCAGTTCAGTGTTTTTGTTGTTCCGTTGTTTTCCTCTTGTAGTTGATGTGTTTCCCTCGGTTTTAGTTTGTAACCCAGATTTGTTTTCGTTTATCGATTTATGACTATTGAACAGCGGTATACTTCTGTTGCCTTTATTTACTGTTTTTACGCAATATCATTGCTACATGTAATAACGCATTTATTTCAACACTTTGTTTAAATAACTTACAACACTCGATTGGCCTAATCATAATCATCACCGGTGTTAATGACTTTCAGTATAAAAAAAAAAATAAAAACAATTTATAATTTTATTCATTTCAAAAACGCAGACAAGATTTCTGTCTTGAAAGTATCAACCTCATCCTCTATATCGATAACTTCAACCAGGGATACCAGATTTAACGCCATATTTACCACCATATTTACCACCATGGTACTGTAAAACAATTGAGATATATTTGAAGAAGTGTTTATTGTAGTAGATGTTTTGATTTATCTTGCTATATTGTATGATAAGTTTTTACAAGAATATGTGATGTTTCTTTCACCAGGGTACACTTTTACTCACTACATGACAATATCACAAGGTTGATAAGAATGAGATGTGTTGCAGTATATATTTTGTAAAGTTTGCTATGTACGATAATTTTGTAAGATTTTGAAGCCCAAACTTCCTTATTGAAAATTGAATACAAAAAGGAACGTAGTGGGTAAATGAAGTCAAACTATGACCGATCTACTTATTTCTGAAAATAAAAAGTCAATTTGTCATGGCATTGTCAGTTTGTTTTCGACGTTCGTAATGAATATCCCTTTGGTATTTTTTGCCTCTCTTTTTTGACCAGTTTCAGACTTCGCTTGTTAGGCAGTTAAATTATTTCCCACAATCAATTATTACTTTTTAAGATGATTAATTTGGTTTAAACATGAGTTAAAGAACGTTTTTATTTTAATGCAGAAAAAGAACAAAAATTTACATTCAGGATTACTGTTATATTTGTAAATCTGGTATATAGGTATACTGCTGTTTATTTCATGCATATTGTAGATCTTTCTTTATATTAACAACATTTACTGTACCAATTTAAATCACCTGATTTATATAATGTGTTCACTTTTATTTCTTCGGAGCATCCAAAATGTATAAACACACTTACTAACAGTGAGGCATATAGTTGTAAATTGGCTTTGAGTCGCTGAACAGCTTTCACATTCACGGCTTATATTAATAGTAATGAAATGCACAGAGTCGATCTTGACAAAAGTGAAATCTTTCTATATTGAATTACATATTTTTATCAATTTATTTAAAATAAACCAGTCATACACCATGCGTATTATTTACATTTTTTTAAAAAGTATTAAGATTTGATAACCAGCTGTATAACGAATAATGAAACAATTTAATTTCTATAATAAGAAAAAAAATTGCACTCACCCTTCCACCATATTTTCCTCCATACCCTTTATAACCTTTGCCATATTTTCCGTATTTTCCATATTTTCCATAGGCAGCTGTAATTATTAAAATATTGAGTAATGTATCTATGGATATCGATGGGGGTCGATGCAATTAAGTATATCTGAAAAGCGTATTTCCCAAAAAAAAAGCCTTGGACAAAAAAAGTTTTAGTACACAAAAATGATAACAATCTTAAAATATTATCTAATACATAAGAACTGTATTTTTTAGTATTCATAGAATATGTAGTTGAATTCTGAATAAAAAGAGATGGATTATTAATGTAGTGACAAAATCAAACATGTTCACAAAACACTGCATAGAAATCTAAAAACTAAGCAACAAGAACCCGACTGAAACTGGCGAAGGTCTCATATGCTTTGAAAGGGTAGGTAGATTCTGCTGCACTATTGAATATATTGATCACAGATTTATAATCAATTACTAAAAATTCGTCAAGGTAAAATATTGTAGGTAACTTATTTATCTAATCTAAACAAAAACCAAAATGAAAAAGGTAAATTTAAAAAAAAGAGGGATATTAATACCAAGAGGCAAATTAAAACAATGCGTCCATGAAAGACAGATAACATAATCATTGTTATAATAAGACCGGTGAGCAAGTAATCATCGGTCCGCAAAACATACAACTCAACATTAATCGAAACCAACCAAAAATGCGACGGCAGTGTATAAGATGTTGGGTTATAAATTGTTCATGTTGAGACAAACCACGATGACATATACAAACTAAGGGAATCACATAAACTTCAAAGGGAGCGAGAACGGTTGCAAAGACAGGGTTAGCGTTTCCTGCGTTGAATGCTCTGCATGCATAAAACACCATGCGTATCCACACTCAATTAAAATGTCACAATCAGGAATAGGGCAACTTCGGTAAAATTAAAGACCAAACGACTATACTGGTATGTAAAGATCTAAGACCGCAAAAACTTGTCACAAGTGAGTTGATTCCACCACATCGTATCGGTCTGCCAATTCGTAATAATGACTGTAAAACTTATATTATGTAGATTTATTCGTTCTTCTTTATAGCATCACGTTAAAGGAGCATAAGCTGTCAAATTCATACCCACTGAATTTATTCAAACTCTCACATTTGTCATATCTATACTGAAACGTAATTCTGAATTAAACATTCAAGTTCCATATAAAAAGTAAAATAACAAGAATACCGAACATTAAGGAAAATTCAATCCCTTATTAAATGGCAAAATCAAAACCTCAATCACATCAAACGAATGGAAAACAACTGTCATATTCCTGACTTGGTACCGGCATTTCCTTATGAAGAAAATGGTGGATTTAACCTGGCTTTATAGCTAGCTAAACCTCTCACTTGTATGACAGTCACATAGAACGAATAAACATGCCTGAACTCGTTACAATGTATAAAGTATAATTTTTTTGGGGTGTATTTCTGACTGGACGCCATCTAGTTAACAATTGACATTATCCACGAAAACTGACAAAAGTTGTGTGAACCCGTTATAATTATCAATATAAGCAGACAGGAAAACATAAAATACAAATAAACAGGTAAGCACCTGGAACAATATAAGTATAAAAAAGGAAGATGTGGTATGATTGAGAACTCACCACAAGAGACAAAATGACACAGAAATTAACAACTATAGGTCATCGTAAGGCCTTCAACAATGAGAAAAACCAATCCCGCAAAGTCAGCTATAGAAGGAACAATATAAGGTCGATTTTCTTAGTTATGTGGTATCTCACTTTTTAGATTGAAAACATATAGATTAAATGTAAATGAGTTACTCATAACCCGTTTCACATTGATATTTTGAAGTCAAATCAATCAACGAAATCGGGATTCATATGCTTATTTCTACGTTTCCTAGTTTCACTTTATTATCTGACTTTCGTTCGAATCCCTGGACATGCGTATCACACACTGAACTCATCTAAAACATAATTATATCAAAGGTTTCAAATGAGGTGGAATCAATGACTTGCAAACCAATAATACATCAGCGATATTTTTGTGGTCTTATTTTGACAAAATATTAACCAATCTTACTACAAATAGGGGAACTTAATTTTGAAATTCCTCCTTTATAGATATTTTGAACAAACAAAAAATATTTAATTTTTTGTCTGAATCGTTACTAAAGACCCTTTAATTAAACATGTAAACGAAAATCAGTTCTGTTTATTATATGTAGTTTGATGAAATAATTGTCTTTGCTTTTGCTGTAATGTCCCTGACAGGTAGAAAATCAATCGGTACAATGTACCGTACAAACAAATGTGTAATTCGAGTCAATTGTAAGCTATGTATTCATTACCATTTTTTGTCTTTTTTCTACTTACCAACTGGCATTGTAACAGAGGCTACCATCAACAGAGCAACAAGGACTATTATTCCGAATAACTTCATGTCTGTTATGCTTTTCTTTTACACTTCACTGTGGACGTTTTTTGGGATGCTCACGATGATCATGATTCAGTTCCAGTATATATATATATGCATTATGCTTGGAACAGCTGGTTGGTACAAATACATAACTACAAGAACTTTAAACTGTTTCAACATGTCTGACAACGTTTGTTAAAATGTCAAAAACCAACAGCAATGAAGGACAATGAAAACGCTGCAATGTACATTGTGTAAGTATTTACATATAACATAATAACAAGGTTTTAGATGTATGTATATGTAATACTTCAATTACGATATGATTAAAAATTAATCTGCTTATATAAAAAAGAAGTATGTTACTAGAAGAGAGGCGAGGGATACTAAAGGAACATTCAAACTCATAAGTCAAAACCTCGTTATGATTATAATGAATTTTTTTAATTTTTTAATTTATTTATTCATTTACAAGTTTGATCGTTTATATAAATATACATTGTTAATTTCCATTGTTTTAGGTAAATAAATTGAAGAAAAACTACGGTTTCCTATTGGTTTCTTATTGGTGCATTCTGAATAAAATTCGGATCGATCAAAACTTTCATTCGTATACACCTCTATGTCTTGCATTGTTCTGGACATAATATTCAATTTCATGTTTGATAGTATAGGTACATTCTATTAAGCAATTGTTGTGTTGCTCTTTTAGATGTCTTTTAACACACTGTTTTGAACAAAACGATTTGCTACATATGCTGCACAAAATGGGTTCTCAACTACAATTTTAAATTCTCATATGCCGTTATAGAAATAATTGATATCTTTAGAATTTGTATGATCATTTTGTGTTACTTTCTACAAAGTTTCACCATGTTCTGGGAAAAAGCTTTTATTTTATTTTCTACTAAATTTGTTTTTATTTATAGTATCAACATATGCTAATCTTACTGCAAGCATACGGATTCATTTCATCTCTATGGGTAGCAAATTCTGCTTACGAATTTTATTGGTTCTAAACAATATGGGATGCCTATATAATTATTTCATAACCTTTTGTAATTGAGAGGTTGTTTTATACAATTAACAACTATTATTTTTGTATACAGAATATTTTAAAAATACGTTGGCGGATTATACAAAAACATGTGAAAATAGCATCTTCATCTTTGCAGGATGCTGATATGGCTTTCGAAAGTTCCATATTGAACACAACCAGCATTTGGATGCTGGCAACTTATATATATAGACTTTGATATACCTTTTGTTTGGATGCTGACATCACAATTAAATGCATGCAAACTCAATTTTCTTTTTGGATGCTACCATCCCATTAAAACAAGCATTCTGTGAGTATTGCCTGGCAATACATAGTCCCCTACCGGTTAAAAATTCATTATACTGGCACAAAATGCTAACTTGATCTATAACTTGTCATGATGTAAACTATATAACAAATATCAAATCAATATCTTCAAGCATGACGAAAAAACTGAGAAAAACTGATTATTTGAGTGAATTTTCTAAGTTCATGGACCATAACTCTGCACAAAATCGTCAAACCGGAAAAAAATTCGAACTTGATCTGTAACTTGTCATGATAAATCAATATCTTCAAGCACGAAGAAAAAAAGTGTGATAAACTGATTTGCTGGACTGACGGATGGACAGACAGACAGACAGACGGAGTGCAAACCTAAAGTCCCCTTCGACTTAGTCGGTAGGGGACTTATTAAGAGTTAAAAATATATTGCTTTCCTCCCAATGTTGAAAATGACTACTCATGGTTGCAAATAAAATACTTACACCCTCCCCCCTTTTCCACCCCAAGAAAAGTTTTTAAACGCATGATTATTTGAAGAAAACCTCACTTAAAACTTCACTTTACCAAAATTTTCCATACCAAACCAGGTGCTTCTGCGGAGTCATCAAATAAAACTATTATGAAAAACCATCTGAACCACTAATTAATTTGAATTATTATGGAACAGCATGCAGATCTTTACACTATCAAAGGGAGAAAAGGGTGAAATTTCATTCGTTTTGGAGAAATATACCCTATTTGGAGATATTTCATCATGTTCATGAAATTGCAATCCCATCCAATGGTGGATTCATTTTACACCTTAATTTATGTTTTGGTTTTTGCTGACCTTCAATTAACCCTTAACTATAGATTGATAAGGCATAAACTATGCATGTTCAGCTATTAAAAGGAAAAGAATGTCAACAATGAAAGTGAAACAAAAGTAAACCATTTGGTTGACTGATTCTATGCACAAAAACTTATTCTTATACAGGAAGAAACTATGATTAACATATTTTTTAACCTACAATATGAAATCAAACAGTCCTAGAAAAATCCAATGGCACTTGTTTGCTATCTATTTATATCTATATTTATGTTTATATCGGGTTTTATGACCGTCGGCAGTCTTGGTGGTCACCTCGATGGTTTATAAGAGGCGTCTAGACTAAAATACACACGAAATTCTGATACATATTATCAAGCTCATACATTACAAATTGTTTATTTAAGACTAGGACTATCTTGACCCATAAAAACATGTAGCAAATTTATTTCTTCAAGTATCTGTATAAGAGTAAAATTTAATTTTAAGTCGATCAATCTGTATGTTCTCCTTTCTTAAACATTATTTATATAGTATTTGACATTCACCCTTTAATATTCATACATGACTATGCGGTAAGGGTTTTGCTCATTGTGGAAGACCGTACGGTGACCTATAGTTGCCAATTTCTATGTCATTTGGTCTCAGGCTGGTGAGGAGCGTCCCATGGCAATCATACCACATCTTCTTATTAATATATATACTGTACCTCTGGTTCTTTAACTGATTTTGGTCCTTTTCAACATTTGTATTAGCTGTGGAATCATAACACGTATGATCCTTGTGATATAATTCGACCCTCAGTTTTAATGACATGAACTATTAAATCAACCAACTTGCTAGATGAGCAAAGTATTATCGGACTTTAAGGTAAGCCTTTATAGTAACAGGTGAAAATGAATGTTATGTCCGATAAATCCCACCCCACCACAAAGAATTTCAAATAGTTGTTCCCTTCAGACCCATGCTATTAAGATGCGATCAACTTTCTGGTATACTGGATATACCTTATCGCTATTTTTATGTCATTTCTGGACACCACAAAGGTTCCCGTAAAATTTTGACGTCACAATAGAAAATGTCTGCTACTGGTGACAAAGGAAAAGTGATTGTTGACAACTTGTATGACGTCCATAGTTCAAGTGTCGCAGATTATCAGGTCAAGTGTTCTGATATTCACTATTGTCTCCTGGTATGAGGAAAATTCTGTTACAAACCCGAAAATCAGTAATTCATGGAATTTCTTTTGGTTATTATGGCTTGTGAAACATTTTTTCAGGACAATTTCAGTCTTCGAAAAGCTTCTGGTCTTTCTAGACCGGAAATCAATCTTAGATCAAATTTCTTATACTAGACATTGCATGTATTAAAATTGTAAGGCCTCTTACCAGTGGTGAAATTTACTTGTGTAGGTCATATGGCTAGTGGTGAACAAATTAATTTAGCTGACCCGATTTTTATATTGGCCATAGCCGTAGGGCTTGTGGTTAATTGTAATTAGAGACACAGTTTTGTTGGGGTGTCACGTGCATCAGATTTTTGTCAAATCTTTTTATTTCTTTGCGGAACAGCTTAATCACGCATAGCATGATAGGATACATATTTTCAAAATATATGAAAAGGGTACTGTATGTCTCAGAAACTCACCGCTTCTACAAAAGGATCGAAGTGCTATATGCACAGTCAGTGTTTTTGGTTTTTAAAACTTCTGGAAAATATTGACGGAAATGAGGGATGAGTAGTGAAAAATAAATTAAAACGGTACGACTGATTCTAAAAACGGATACTAGATATATTGTATATTTTGGTTGATATAGATATATACGATGTTATATTTTTGTCCAGTTTCCCATGTTAAATAATTAAAATGGGAAGATATTTACCTTACAGCTTCATTTTCCGGAGATGCTGGATTGTATAAAAGAAAAACAAGATAAGCGTCTTTGACCTACTTTATCTCTTTATTCGGATACTTGCGGATATCTTCTCAAAGTTCAACGGGAATATTAGAAAAGAACCCGGATAGAACCAAGAAGTAGGGTTCCTATAACCATACAACCCGGATATTGAACCAGTTACCATGGTTTCGAACCAAAGAACCCGGATAGAACCAATATTCAAAGCCAAAAGACCCGGATGGAACCAAGGTTTTAAACCAGAGTGCCCGAATAGAACCTAATTGCATTCGAAAATCTTATGGCTTTTTATACCTTTAACGTATTTTTCAAATCATTTATTTATTTATCTATTATTTTAATTTATTTATTTATTTATTGATGTATTTATCTGTTTATGTGAAAAAGAGATGGATGATACCAAGGAGACATTTAAAAACTATTTAGTCCAAAAAAAAGGAATATTTGATCTCAATTTATTTTTTATTTGGTCAAATAATTAATAGATGTGTATTGTATACGTTTACCAAAAGACAGAAAAAAATTCAGTTTTCAAAATTTGAATGCATCAATATTTAGAAAAACTCAATTTCATACTTTAGATAAACTAAGGATATTCTCAATATCATAACGATACAAACAATAGATACATAAATTTAACAGCCAATGTATACTAAAACAATCCCTCCAATTGGAAGGCCTAAACAAATACGAATTAGAGTTGATGAGCATTTAAAACCACAAATAGTGAAACATCGTGATAAATATCGCTACGGTTATCTATGCTAAGATGTATAAAAACCTAAAGTTTCGAATAATTAGAATTTTGAAGAAAGAATAAATGTCTATAAGCGTATCATTGATGTTTTATATCAACACAGAAGTAGTGGCTACTCTTCAGGAACGAAACGTCTACTACCAGTGGTTGAACAAATCCTTAAAGATACCAGGATTATCATGAGTAGTTTACATAAAACAGACAACAACACCAATGGTAAAAATAAAAAAAAGATGAACAGCTAAACGACAATCCACAAAATACTTCACAGAACCTAGTTGCTC